GGGGGGACACCGGGGGGACACCGGGGAGACACTGGGGGTGGGAGGGTGGGGACACTGGGGGGGAAACTGAGGGTGACACTGGGGGTGACAGAGGGGACACTGAGGGGACACTGGGGTGACACTGGGGGTGATAACAGGGGGTGACACATGGGGTGACACAAAGGTGACACAGGTGTGACGTGGGCTGAGTGACACCGAGGTGCCACAGGGTGTGGGTGACCCCGGCGGTGACACAGGGGTGTGACACAGGCAGGGTGGCAGGGGCCGGGCGCCACTGGGTGCCACCACGGGCTGGGTGACCCTGGGTGACTTTGAGTGACCCCTGGCTGTTCCCTGGGTGTCCCTGGTGTCCCCAGGTGTCCCCAGCTGTCCCCTGGCTGTCCCCGGTGTCCCCAGGTGAAGCTGGGTGTCCCTGGTGTCCCCTGGGTGACCCTGGTGACCCGGTTGTCCCCTGGCTGTCCCCAGGTGACTCTGGGTGTCCCCTGGCTGTCCCCTGGGTGTCCCTGGTGTCCCCTGGGTGACCCCAGGCTGTCCCCAGGCATGTCCCCTGTGTCCCCAGCTGTCCCCAGCTGACCCCTGGCTGTCCCCAGGTGAAGCTGGGTGACCCTGGGTGACCCCTGGTTGTCCCCTGGGTGACCCTAGCTGTCCCCAATGTCCCCAGCTGTCCCCTGGGTGGCCCTAGGCTGTCCCAGGTGTCCCCAGCTGATCCCTGGCTGTCCCCAGGTGAAGCTGGGTGACCCTGGGTGACTCTGGGTGACCCTGGTGACCCGGTTGTCCCCCGGCTGTCCCCAGATGAAGCTGGGTGACCCTGGGTGACCCCTGGCTGTCCCCTGGTTGTCCCCTGGGTGTCCCTGGTGACCCGGTTGTCCCCTGGCTGTCCCCAGGTGACTCTGGGTGACCCTGGCTGTCCCCTGGGTGACCCCTGGCTGTCCCCTGGGTGACCCCTGGCTGTCCCCTGGGTGACCCTGGTGTCCCCTGGGTGACCCTGGTGACCCGGTTGTCCCCTGGCTGTCCCCAGGTGAAGCTGGGTGACCCTGGGTGACTCTGGGTGACCCTGGTGTCCCCTGGGTGTCCCTGGTGTCCCCTGGGTGTCCCTGGTGTCCCCTAGGTGTCCCTGGTGACCTGGTTGTCCCCTGGCTGTCCCCAGGTGAAGCTGGGTGACCCTGGGTGACCCTTGGCTGTCCCCTGGTTGACCCTGGTGTCCCCTGGGTGTCCCTGGTGACCCGGTTGTCCCCTGGCTGTCCCCAGGTGACTCTGGGTGTCCCCTGGTTGTCCCCTGGTTGTCCCCTGGGTGACCCTGGTGACCCGGTTGTCCCCTGGCTGTCCCCAGGTGACTCTGGGTGTCCCCTGGCTGTCCCCTGGGTGACCCCTGGCTGTCCCCTGGGTGTCCCTGGTGTCCCCTGGGTGACCCTGGTGTCCCCTGGGTGTCCCTGGTGTCCCCTGGGTGACCCTGGTGTCCCCTGGGTGTCCCTGGTGTCCCCTGGGTGACCCTGGTGACCCGGTTGTCCCCTGGCTGTCCCCAGGTGAAGCTGGATTTCGTGGCGCCGGCGCCGGGCGCGCAGCACTACACCCTTTACTTCATGAGCGACGCCTACATGGGCTGTGACCAGGAGTACAAATTCAGCGTGGACGTCAAGGAGGCCGAGAGCGACTCCGACTCCGACTGACACCCAAATCCCGCGGAATAACCCCAAAAAAACCCCGCAGAACCCCAAAAAACCCCACAGAATCCCAAAAAACCCCACAGAATCCCAAAAAAACCCCTACAGAATCCCCCCAAAATCCCACAGCATCCAAAACAATCCCAAAAAATCCCACAGCATCCAAAACAATCCCAAAAAATCCCACAGCATCCAAAACAATCCCAAAAAAGCCCACAGCATCCAAAACAATCCCACAGAATAATCCCAGAGAACCCCAGAAACCCCACAGAATCCCAGAAAATCCTATAGAATGCTCCAGAATCCCCAAAAGATCCCACAGAACCCCAAAAATCCTGCAGAATCCCAAAAAATCCCACAGAATAATCCCACAGAATCCCAAAAAACACCAGAATCCAAAAAAAATCCCACAGAATCTCAAAAAAACACCACAGAACCCCAAAAACCCCATAGAATCCTAAAAAATCCCACAGAATCTCAAAAAACCCGCACAGAATCCCAAAAAATCCCACAGAATCCTCCAGAATCCCAAAAAAATCCCACAGAACCCCCCCAAAAAAACCCCAGAATCCCAAAAAGTCCCCCCAAAAAACCCAGGATCCCAAAAATTCCCACAGAATTCCCAAAAAACCCCCCAGAGTCTCGGCAAAATCCCACCAAAAACGCAAAAAAACCCCACCCAGATGTTGTGAAATCCCACAAGATCCCATCAAAATCCCATAAAATCCCATCAGATCCCATAAAAACCTTCTCAGATCCCATAAAAACCTCCTCGGATCCCATAAAACCTCCTCGGATCCCATAAAACCCCCTCAGATCCCATAAAATCCCCTCAGATCCCATAAAAACCTTCTCAGATCCCATAAAATCCCCTTAGATTCCATAAAAACCTTCTCAGATCCCATAAAATCCCCTCAGATTCCATAAAAACCTTCGCAGATCCCATAAAATCCCCTCAGATTCCATAAAAACCTTCGCAGATCCCATAAAACCCGCTCAGATCCCATAAAACCCCCTCAGATCCCATAAAATCTTCTCAGATCCCATAAAAATCCCCTCAGATCCCATAAAACCTTCTCAGATCCCATAAAAATCCCCTCAGATCCCATAAAACCTTCTCAGATCCCATAAAAACCTTCTCAGATCCCATAAAACCCCTCAGATCCCATAAAATCTTCTCAGATCCCATAAAAATCTTCTCAGATCCCATAAAATCCCCTCGGATCCCATAAAAACCTTCTCAGATCCCATAAAACCCCTCAGATCCCATAAAATCTTCTCAGATCCCATAAAAACCTCCTCAGATCCCATAAAACCCCTCAGATCCCATAAAAACCTTCTCAGATCCCATAAAATCCCCTCAGATCCCATAAAAACCTTCTCGGATCCCATAAAAACCTTCTCAGATCCCATAAAACCCCTCAGATCCCATAAAAACCTTCTCGGATCCCATAAAAACCTTCTCGGATCCCATAAAAACCTTCTCAGATCCCATAAAATCTTCTCAGATCCCATAAAAACCTCCTCAGATCCCATAAAACCCCTCAGATCCCATAAAAACCTTCTCAGATCCCATAAAAACCTTCTCAGATCCCATAAAATCCCCTCGGATCCCATAAAAACCTTCTCAGATCCCATAAAACCTCCTCGGATCCCATAAAAACCTTCTCAGATCCCATAAAACCCCCTCAGATCCCATAAAACCTTCTCAGATCCCATAAAACCCCCTCAGATCCCATTAAATCCCCTCAGATCCCATAAAACCTTCTCAGATCCCATAAAACCCCCTCAGATCCCATAAAACCTCCTCAGATCCCATAAAATCCCCTCAGATCCCATAAAATCCCCTCAGATCCCATAAAACCTTCTCAGATCCCATAAAACCCCTCAGATCCCATAAAACCCCCTCAGATCCCCTCGGATCCCCCTCCCGCGTTCCCGTTGTGTTTTAGGGTTCGGATGTTTTGTACAGAGTTTTTTTAGGTTGGAATAAACTTCGAGATCCGACTCGGCCTCGGTGCTGGATCCCAGATTCCCAAATTCCCGGATCCCAAATTCCCAGATCCCAAATTCCCGGATCCCAAATTCCCGGATCCCAAATTCCCAGATCCCAAATTCCAAATTCCCAGATCCCAAATTCCCGGATCCCAAATTCCCGGATCCCAAATTCCCAGATCCCAAATTCCCAGATCCCAAATTCCCGGATCCCAAATTCCCGGATCCCAAATTCCCAGATCCCAAATTCCAAATTCCCAGATCCCAAATTCCCGGATCCCAAATTCCCGGATCCCAAATTCCCGGATCCCAGATCCCAAACTCCCGGATCCCAAACTCCCGGATCCCAAATTCCCGGATCCCAAATTCCCGGATCCCAAACTCCCTGATCCCAAACTCCTGGACCTAGATTCCCGGATCCCGAACTCTTTGATCCCAAATTCCTGACCCCATATTCCCATATTCCCAGATCCTGGATCCCAAATTCCCGGATCCCAAACTCCTGGATCACAAATTCCTGGATCCCAGATTTCCAGATCCCAAACCCTTTGATCCCAGATTCCCAGATTCCCAGATCCGAGATTCCCAGATTCCCAAATTCCCGGATCCCAAATTCCCGGATCCCAAATTCCCAGATCCCAAATTCCCGGATCCCAAATTCCCAGATCCCAAATCCCAAATTCCCGGATCCCAAATTCCCGGATCCCAGATCCCAAATCCCCGGATCCCAAATTCCCAAATCCCAAATTCCCGGATCCCAAACTCCCGGATCCCAAATTCCCGGATCCCAAATTCCCGGATCCCAAATTCCCGGATCCCAAATTCCCGGATCCCAAATTCCCGGATCCCAAATTCCCGGATCCCAAATTCCCGGATCCCAAATTCCCGGATCCCAAATTCCCGGATCCCAAATTCCCGGATCCCAAATTCCCGGATCCCAAATTCCCGGATCCCAAATTCCCGGATCCCAAATTCCCGGATCCCAAATTCCCGGATCCCAAATTCCCGGATCCCAAATTCCCAGATCCCAAATTCCAAATTCCCAGATCCCAAATTCCCGGATCCCAAATTCCCGGATCCCAAATTCCCGGATCCCAAATTCCCGGATCCCAAATTCCCGGATCCCAAACTCCCGGATCCCAAATTCCCGGATCCCAAATTCCCGGATCCCAAACTCCCTGATCCCAAACTCCTGGACCTAGATTCCCGGATCCCGAACTCTTTGATCCCAAATTCCTGACCCCATATTCCCATATTCCCAGATCCTGGATCCCAAATTCCCAAGTTCCCAGATCCCAAATTCCCTGATCCCAAATTCTCAGATCCCAAACTCTTGGAATCCCAGATCCCAAACACCCAAATCCCAAACTCCCGGATCCCAAATTCCCGGATCCCAAATTCCTGGATCCCAAACTCTTGGAATCTCAAACTCCCAGATCCCAAATTCCCAGATCCTGGATCTCAAATTCCCGGATCCCAAATTCCCGGATCCCAAATTCCCGGATCCCAAATTCCCGGATCCCAAACTCCTTCCGGGTCCCCGAGGGTTCCCGGCCCCCCCCGGCCCCTCGGGAAGATCCGGGGGATTTTTCCAGGAAATCTTTGGGATTTATTGGCCTTGGGGCGAGAAATCCTGAACGGATCCCGGGATCCCAAACCCCGATCCCACAAATCCGGCCAGGGAGGGAGAGGAGCACGGGGAACGGTCCTGGAGGACACCAGGAGCTCCTGGAGGACATGGGAAGGT